ACCTAGGTGTAAGCAGAAGTAGCATGTTTATGAGACAGAGAAAAGACACCAGCATCCTACCATCATGTAAAACAATTACAGGCTTCCATTTTACACTCACTTGGCAGGACGGTAGTACCTCCCTGGGCAGTACCTACAGACATACAGTGGTTCCTCAATAATCGTCTGGCCTGAAAGTCGTCCATTTCGGAAATAGTCCCATTATTTCATCTAAACATTGGCTCGCAAATGGTCCGTTAACTCGCTAATCGTCTTTCGTCCTGGACGCGTACTCACGGCTCTGAGCCGTTCCCAGCCAGTGTGCCACTGTTTACCAGTGAGTGACGGTCCCCTCGTGTGTTCATACGAAATAGTTCATAATATTCCATTCATTTTAGTGCTTGCAAGTGCTAAATAAGTTACCATGGCTCCAAAGAAAGCTCCTAGTGCCAAACCTTTGGTAAAGGTGAGAAATACGACTGAATTTAAGAAAAACATCATTGAACAATATGAAAGGAGCAAGAGTTTCAGCAGGAAGAGCAACAGATCGCAGCTCAGAATCTTGCTGCAGAGGAGGAGGAAGAGAGATGGAAGATGGAAGGTGCCTTCTTCAGAAATTAAGATTTTTGAAATGTGGGGTAGGATGGAAAGATTTATGGAGAAACATGTTGCAAGCCATATCGGCAACTTGTACAGTGACAGAGTCTTGGCCCATTTTAGGGAAGTTTTAAAGAGATGCCAGAAACAGAGCTCTCTGGACAGTTTTTTTTGCGAGACAGGACTCCAGTGACTCTCAAGCTGGTCCTAGTGGCATTAACCCTTTCAGGGTCCAAGGGCCAAATCTGGAGTCACGCACCAGTGTCCAAGAATTTAAAAAAAAAAATTTGTTATTTTTTCTTATGAAATCGTAGAGAATCTTTTTGTGAAGGTAATAAAACAAAAAGTACGAAATTTGGTGGAAAATTGACGAAATTATGCTCTCGCGAATTTTGATGTGTCAGCGATATTTACGAATCGGCGATTTTGCCGACTTTGACTCTCATTTTAGGCCAATTTACATTATTCCAATCAACCAAATTCTTAGCTATTTCACTAGTATTACTTCTATTCTATCGATTGAGCACAAGAAATCGCCAAGTCAACTGTTTCAACTACAAAATAAAGTGATCGGAAATTGTTAATTTGGCCAATTTAACACAAAGTTCAAAATATTCCAATTTCAAATAGGGTCCAGAATAAACAATGTAGGCATTCCTGGCACTAAACTAACATTTCCTCTGTTCATTAGTTATGTTTTGAGGCTTTACAAATAAATTCCATTTTGATTTTTTATTCACATAATGAATTTTTATTCACACCAAAAAATAGAAGATTTACTGTTATGCAATACTGTAATAATTCTATAAATATCATCACCATATTTGTGAATGTATATTAGACCCACCAGCTGACGTGTATTAGACGTGTGAGGTCATTTGTTTACTCTTGAATATCGGCAAAAATTTAACATTTCCGCTACTTTGAGCTCAGTCTCAAGCCATTTCCAGTGCTAAAACCAATCAAAATCATCTCTATTTCTGTAATATGTCTTCCATTCTATCAAATGAGACCAAGAAATCGCAAATACAACTATAAAAAACATACGAAAAAACACTGTAAAGTTGCTGTTTTAATCGAAAAATCATGATTTCATTTTTTTTCTCTCATTATACACAGTGTGCTGCAGGATCTGTTTTATGTGGTGCACACATACCACATAGATGTATTCTCTCATATCTAGGCCCAAATGTACCACTTACAGTTTATCAGAGTGAGCTGAGCTCATGGCGTAGATCTACGGTTTGGACACTCACCGTAAAGCCGTAGATCTACGGGACGGACCCTGAAAGGGTTAAGAAACAGAGAAGTAACCCCAGAAAAGCACTTGGTACCTGAGGTGTTGATGGAAGGGGATTCCCCTTCCAAACAGTAATTCAATGTCTCTCCTCCTCCAGTCTTCCATACACTAAGAAGAATTGGCAATAAAGGTAAGTGTTATGCTGTTAATGTTCCATTCATCATGTGCCATTGTATTGTTTATGTACTACATCTATATTTCATGTAAAAATTTTTTTTGTTTTAATACTTCTGGGTGTCAGGAATGGATTAATTGTATTTACATCATTTCTTATGGGGAAAATTGATTCGAAAATCGTCTATTTCAATAATAGTCCCACTTCCAGGAACGGATTATGGACGATAATTGAGGGACCACTGTACATGCATACAGTAGGGCCCCGCTTTATGGCATTCCGCTAATATGGTCATTTCAAATTATGGCCTAAACTCTCTATACGGCTCCCCCCACCTGACTTTCTAATACAGTTACCGCGCCCCACCCTGTTTACATTCTCCATGAGCACATCTCTCCATTGTGTCTGGAAACTCCAAAATTTCAAGTGTTTTTAAAAGTTATTTCATATTTTATGTACATTTTTTTTTTAACAAGTCGGCCGTCTCCCACTAAGGCAGGGTGACCCAAAAAGAAAGAAAATCCCCAACAAGAAAATACTTTCATCATCATTCAACATTTTCACCACACTCACACATAATAACTGTTTTTGCAGAGGTGCTCAGAATTCAACAGTTTAAAAGCATATACGTATATACACAACATATCCCTCCAATCTGCCAATATCCCAAACCCCTCCTTTAAAGTGCAGGCATTGTACTTCCCATTTCCAGGACTCAAGTCTGACTATATAAAAATAACCGGTTTCCCCGAATCCCTTCACTAAATATTACCCTGCTCACACTCCAACAGCTTCAGATCCCAAATACCATTCATCTCCACTCACTCCTATCTAACACGCGTACAGGTACACATTAAAATCAGTAAGTGTGTCTTATGTCTCGAGATGCCATATTAGTAATGATAATAATACTCAATAATAATCATTGAGTCTCATTAAATGTTGTATATTATGTTAATATACACATTTTCATTAATCCATGTATGATATTTTTTCAAAATTATATAATAAACATGATACATAACATATAAAGATGATAAATACACTCCACAATAGAATAAACAAACATAAATATGAGATGTGGTAGCCAGACGACTTGTACGAGTTACGCCATGTTAGTAATGATAATAATAATCACCGAGCCTTATTAAATGTCGTATATTACGTTAATATACACATTTTCACTAATCCAGCTGTGATATTTTTTCAAAACTATATAATAAACACTATACATAACATATAAAGATGATAAATACACCCCACAGTAGAATAAACAAACATAAATACGAGATGTGGTAGCCAGACAACTTGTACAAATGACAGCAAGAATAATGTTTTCTCTAGTCCAACATAAGAGAAAATGTGTTACTGGGAGTAACTGTAGAAAATTATTCCTATCATATGCCTTCACTCGAGTGTCATTTCTTCTAAAAAATGGTGTTTCATGAGAAGGGGAGTGTTCCTCTTTATTTATTCTACCGTATCAATGTAGAGACATTATTATTAACACACTGGCCGATTCCCACCAAGGCAGGGTGGCCCGAAAAAGAAAAACTTTCACCATCATTCACTCCATCACTGTCTTGCCAGAAGGGTGCTTTACACTACAGTTTTTAAACTGCAACATTAACACCCCTCCTTCAGAGTGCAGGCACTGTACTTCCCATCTCCAGGACTCAAGTCCGGCCTGCCGGTTTCCCTGAACCCCTTCATAAATGTTACTTTGCTCACACTCCAACAGCACGTCAAGTATTAAAAAACCATTTGTCTCCATTCACTCCTATCAAACACGCTCACGCATGCCTGCTGGAAGTCCAAGCCCCTCGCACACAAAACCTCCTTTACCCCCTCCCTCCAACCTTTCCTAGGCCGACCCTACCCCGCCTTCCTTCCACTACAGACTGATGCACTCTTGAAGTTATTCTGTTTCGCTCCATTCTCTCCACATGTCCGAACCACCTCAACAACCCTTCCTCAGCCCTCTGGACAACAGTTTTGGTAATCCCGCACCTCCTCCTAACTTCCAAACTACGAATTCTCTGCATTATATTCACACCACACATTGCTCTCAGACATGACATCTCCACTGCCTCCAGCCTTCTCCTCGCTGCAACATTCATCACCCATGCTTCACACCCATATAAGAGCGTTGGTAAAACTATACTCTCATACATTCCCCTCTTTGCCTCCAAGGACAAAGTTCTTTGTCTCCACAGACTCCTAAGTGCACCACTCACCCTTTTCCCCTCATCAATTCTATGATTCACCTCATCTTTCATAGACCCATCCGCTGACACGTCCACTCCCAAATATCTGAATACATTCACCTCCTCCATACTCTCTCCCTCCAATCTGATATCCAATCTTTCATCACCTAATCTTTTTGTTATCCTCATAACCTTACTCTTTCCTGTATTCACTTTCAATTTTCTTCTTTTGCATACCCTACCAAATTCATCCACCAACCTCTGCAACTTCTCTTCAGAATCTCCCAAGAGCACAGTGTCATCAGTGTCATAGGAAAATATATTCTACAATTTAAAGAGACTTTTTTTAAAGATCGCAACAGAAGGGACATTTAATTCCACAACATTTGACACTTTAAGGGCTAAATGTTATCTCTCATATAAGTGCAACTTACAGACTCAACAAGCATTCAATGAGGCTTGCCTGTATTATGCATCATAATACTGTGATCACAATCTTGAGCTTAAGCTGTGCAAATGAGATAAACCAAGTGATCTTTCAGAAGACAAAAATGGCCTTATATTTATCCCTGCAGCATATCATTTTTTCCAAATGAAACTCCAGGAAAACCTTAATGTTAATAAATTTCATTATATCTTAAGAGATGAACTGTGTACAGTAAGTGAGCTTTTCTAACTTGTATAGTACTGTACAGTAAAATATATTGTCAAAATTGTGACTATTCTCATTTATTGTTTTTAAATACATTGCTTCCTGTAATTTCAGATGGGCAGCATAACAAAATGAAAGGTTAACACTCACCAGTTGTTGCTGAGTTGAGCCCTGAGACCCACTTTGTGAATCATCCAGCTGAAAGGCTTCCAGGGAAAACCTAGAGAGGTCTCCCCCAGCTGCACTGCCTGCTTGCCCTCCACCCCACCCAACCATAGAGTCCTGTCAGGATTAATCAATCACTGTTAATGTAGAAAGTGAACAAGTTTTGGATGAGGGTTAACCCTCATCAATATTGTGATAAAAAACTGCACACTATATCGTAGGCCTGAAGTAAAATAAAACTGATAACAGAATACAGTGGCCCCTTGAGTTACGATATTAATTTGTAACAGAAGACATATTGTATCTCCAAAATATCATAACTCAAACCTCAAAATACATGGTCTTATGGTAATTCATTCTCAGTTTTTTGTTGTTTACACACACTGGGTTTTTCTAAGTAATAAACAAGAATACACTGCAGCTTGAAATATCCAGAGGCACTGTCACCCAGCAGGAGAGTAAGCTGAGAGAGAGAAGGCAGAACAAGTCCGAGGAGGCAAGGTAGAGTAGGCAGGCAGGGAAGGGATGGAGGCAGGAGGAAGGGAAGGGATGCAGGGAATAAGGAATGAAGGAAGGGAGGGAGGGAGGGAAGGCAATCAGGCAGGAAGGGGGAAAGGAGGGAGGGAGGCAAAGAAGGTGGGAAGCAGATAGGCAGGGAGGGAGGGAGGGAGGGAGGGAGGATGGCAGAGACAGACAGGCAGGTAAAGAGGCAAGACACAGGCAGGCAGGTAGAGGCATGCAGGAAGAGGGAGAAAGTGGGAAGGAGAGGCTAGGTAGGCCGACTGGTAAAGAACTGTAGACTTGATATTAACACACTCGTCACCGTCCACGTCTGATACAGTATGGTCTCCCTTCCTCCCACCACAACCCCCCGCACTCACCTCCAACACACCCTCAACCATCACTCCATACAAAACCTTTCCATCACCGTGTCTTGTCTCTGAGCTGAGATCCACTCACACCTACCAACTTTGTGTGTGTTGTATCTCAATTTTTCATCACAACTCAAAACTAAATTTCTTTATGAGGGAAAATTGAAACTCAAAATTATCATAATGCCAGTCCATCATAACTCAAGGGGCCATTACATTATAAAAGAACACAAGAACAACAGGAAACTATTCACTAAAAAGTATAGATTATATATATAGAGACAAAAGAGAGAGAGAGAGAGAGAGAAGACAGAGAGAGAGACGAAGAGAAGAGAGAGAGAGAGAGAGCAGAGAGAGAGAGGAAAGAGAGAGAAGAGAGACAGAAGGGAAGAGGAGAGGAGAAGAGTGAGAGGAGAGAGATAGAGCAGAGAGAGAGAGGAGAGAGAGAGAAGGAAGAGGAGAGAAGAGAGGAGAGAAGAGAGAGAGGAAGAGAGTGAGAGTAGAGAGAGAGGAAGAGAGAGAAAGTGAAGAGAGTGGAGACAGAGGAGAGAGTGTAGATAGATGAGAGAGAATGTGTAGTGAGTGAAGGAGTAATGAGAAGAGTAGGAGGAGAAGATGAGAGATGAGAGAGGGATTGAGAGAGAAAGACAAGGAGAGAGAAGACGAGAATGAGAGTAGAGATATGAGAGGAGAGAGAGAGAGGAAGAAGAGTAGGAATGAGAGAAGTAGAGGAGAAGTTAAGAGAGAGAGAGTAGAGAAGAAGGAAGAGTAAGAAAGAGAAGAGAAGAGAGAAGAGTAGAAGAGAGAGACGAGGAAGAGAGAGAGAGGAGATGAGAGAGAAGAGAGAGAGAGAGAGAGAGAGAGAAGAGAGAGAATGAGAGTAGGAGAGAGAGAGGGAAGAGAGAGAGAGACGAGAGAGAGAGAGATGAGAGAGAGAGGAGAGAGAGGAGAGGAGAGAGAGAGGGAGAGAAGAGAGAGAGAGTGAGAAGAGAGAGAAGAGAGAGAGAGAAGAGAGTAGGAAGAAGGAGAGGAGAAGAGAGAGAGATGAGAGAGAGAGAGAGAGAGGAGAGAGAGGGAGAGAGAGAGAGAGAGAGAGAAGAGAGAGAGAGAGAAGAGGAGAGAGAGAGAGAGAGAGACGAGAAGAAGAGAGAGAGAGAGAGAGAGAGAGGAGAGAGAGAGAGAGAGAGAAAAGGAGAGAGAGAAGAGAGAGAGAGAGAGAGAAAAGAGGAGAAAAGGAGGAGAAGAGAGAGAGGAAGAGGAAAGAGAGGAGAGGGAGGAGAGAGAGGAGAGAGAGAGAGGGAGGAGGAAGAGAGAGAAGGGGAGAGAGAAAAGAGAGAGAGAGAGACAGAGAAGAAGAGACAGAGAGAGATGAGAAGAGAGAGAGAGGGAGAGGGGAAGAGAGAGAGAGGGGGACAGAGAGAGAGAGAGAGGGGAAGAAAACAGAGGGAGAAGAGAGAGAGAAAAGGGAGAGAGATGAGAGAAAAGAGAGAGAGGGGGAGCAGAGGACAGAGACAGAGACAGAGAGAGAGACAGAGAGAAGAGAGGGGAGGAGAGAGGGGACAGAGAGAGAGAAGAGAGAGAGAAAAGGGAGAGAGAGAGAGAGAGAGAGAGAAGAGAGAGAGAGAGAGAGAGGAGAAGAGAGAAAAGAGAGAGAGAGAGAGAAGAGAGAGAGAAGAGGAGAGAGAGAGAGAGAGAAAAGAGAGAGAGAGAGAGAGAGAGAGAGGGAGAGAGAAGAGAGAGGAGAAGAGGAGAAGAAGAAGAGAGAAGGAGAGAAGAGGAGAGAAGAGAGAAAAGAAAGAGAGAGAGAGAAGAGGAGAGAGAGGAAGAGAGAGAGAGAAGAGGGAGAGGAGAGAGAGAGAAGAAGAGGGGAGAGGAAAAGGAGAAAAGGGAGAGAGGAGGAGAGAGAGGAGAGAGAGGGAGGGGAGGAGAGAGAGAGAAGATGGGGAAAAGAGAGAGAGGAAGAGGAGAGAGAGAGAAGAAAGGGGAGAGACGAAGAGAGAGAGGAGGAGGGGAAAGAGAGAGAGAGAAAAGGAGAGGAAGAGGAGAGGAAAAAGGGGAGAGAGGAGAGAGGAGAGAGAGAGAGAGAGAGAGTGAGTGAGTGTGTGTGTGTGTACACCAGATAAAACTTGTATTAATTTACTTCTTAATTTGACTTGAGTAGGTGTGTCTGAACATAATTAGTTTACCTGTTAAGACTTTTAATATTACAGTGGATCCCCCGAATTACGTCATCATCAGATTTCGGAATATTCAGAATAAGTAACTTTTTTCACCAAATATTGGCTCAGTGATCATCATTGAACTCAGTATTAGTCATGCATCCCAAACATGTCCATGTGACCCAAGCAATACGACACACCATTTACAGCCAGTGTGCCACTGTTTATCAGCCAGCGAGGACGATCCCACGCGTTCATACAATACATTTTGTATCATTCCATTCTTTTTAGTGCTTGTAACTGCTAAATAAGCCACCATGGGCCCAAAGAAAGCTTCTAGTGCCAGCCCTTTGGAAAGAGGGTGAGAAACACTATAGAATTCAAGAAAGACATCACTGCAAAATATGAGTGGAGTACGTGTCGCCGAGCTGGCCAGGTTGTATAACAAACCCAATACAACCACCACTTCTATCATGGCCAAGAGAAAGGGAATCAAGGACTCAAGAGAAAGGGAATCAAGCTGTTGTTGCAAAAGGTGCAAATATGCTTATAAAACAGCATCACAAATACTGGAAGATGTGGAGATTTTGTTGTTGGTGTGGATCAACGAGAAACAAATATCAGGAGATACTGTTATGCAGTCAATAATTTGTGAAAAGACAAGGCATCATGATCTCGTAAAGAAAATGCCTGGAACTAGTGCTGATATTGGTGAATTTAAGGCCAGCAAAGGCTGGTTTGAGAGATTTAAGAATAGTAGTGGCATACACATTGTGATAAGGCATGGTGAGACTGTCAGTTCTGACAAAAAAGCAACTGAAAAATATGTTCAGGCATTCAAGGGGTACACAGAAGCTGAAAAATTCAAACCCCAACAGGTGTTCAGTTGTGACAAAACAGGCCTCTTTTGTAAGAAAATGCCAAAGAGGACCTACATCACTCAGAAGGAAAAGGCACTCCCAGGACACAAGCCTATGAAAGACAGACCAACTCTCATATTTTGTAGTAATGCTAGTGGGGATTTCAAAGTGAAGCCTTTACTTGTGTATCACTGAAAATCCCAATGTTTTCAAGAAAAATAGTGTTGTCAAGAGTAAACTGTGTGTGATGTGGAAGGCAAACAGTAAGGCATGGGTCATGAGGGACATTTTCCTTGATTGGTTTAATGACGTGTTTGGCCCCAGTGTGAATAAATAAATAAATTGGAACTCAAGTGCCTCCCGGTAATGGACAATGCTCCTGCTCATCCTCCAGACTTGGAAGAGCAAATGGTGCAGAAGTTTCATTTCATCAAAGTGAAGTTCTTGGCCCCTAATACCACTCCTCTCATCCAGCCCATGGACCAGCAGGTCATTTCAAATTTCAAAAACTGTACCCCAAAGCAGTGTTTCAAAAGTGCTTTGAATGACCTCAGACACTGAATTGACACTGAGGGAGTTCTGGAAAGATCACTTCAATATCCTTCATTGCATAAACCTTATAGGTAAGGCTTGGGAGGGAGTGACTTCCAGGACTTTGAACTCTACTTGGAGAAAATTGTGGCCACAATGTGTACAAGAGATTTTGAAGGGTTTGGGGCTGACCCTGAGGAGCCTATGCCAGTTGTGGAAAGTACTGTGGTATTGGGAAATTCCATGGGGTTAGATGTGAGTTTCGAGGAAGTGGAAGAGTTGGTGGAGGACCACGATGAATAGCTAACCACTACAAAACTGAAAGACCTTCATCTACAACAGCAACAAACCACAGGTCAGAAAATTACTTCAGAGGAGGAGGAAGAGAGATGGAGGAAGGTGCCTTCTTCAAAGATTAAGAACATTTGTACAATGTGGACAAAGGTGCAAACATTTATGGATGAACATCACCCTGACAAAGCTGCTGCAGGCCGTGTTGGCAACATGTACAATGACAATGTTGTGTCCCATTTTAGGGAGGTTTTAAAGAAATGCCAGATACAAACCTCTGTGGAATACTTTTGAGCAACAGGGGTCCAGTGACTCTCAAATTGGTCCTAGTGGCATTAAAAAACAAAGAAGGAAAGTAACCCCAGAAAAGGACTTGGTACCTGAAGTCTTTATGGAAGGGGATTCCCCTTCCAAACAATAGTACACCTCCATCCTCTCCCCTCCTCCCATCTCATCACTCATCAATAAGACTTCAATAAAAATGTGTCATTGTAGTAATGTTTTATTCTGCATGTCTCATTGCTTTCTGTGTAGGGAAATGTATATTTCAAGTAAAACAATGATTTTTTTTTTAATACTTTTGGGTGTCGTGAACGGATTAATTGGATTACCATTATTTCTTATGGGGAAAATTAATTTGGAACCCGTCAGATTCGGGTTTAGTCACTCTCTCTCTGGAACGGATTAATTACAAAAACCGGGGGTCCACTGTAGTCCATTTTTAAATTTGTGCATGGATATTGTTTCTGGTGAATAATAATTCATCTAATCACAATTGCCTATTATAAAGTTATGACAAGAACTGGTCCTTAACCCTTAAACTGTCCAAAAGTAGATCTAAGTTTACATGCGTAGCACTCCGAACGCAAATCTACATTTTTTACACAAGAAAGGATGTAAAATAGAAAGTTCGGAGCGCTGCGTACGTGAACGTAGAGCTACGTTTGGACAGTTTAAGGGTTAAATCAGTAAGTACTTACTCCTTGTATACCAGAAGTTCCTGGCATAGCTTGTGCAACAAGCTCCTCCATGGTCTGTGGTTGTGATGTTAAGACCTGTGATTCAAAACCCTGCGGACCCTCAGAGACTCCATCACCTGAAGGGAGCATTAACAAAAAATATAATTGTACTGTATTCCAATAAATGTACTTCAATACCAATATCAAACATTTTATTTTTTGTATCAGGAGGGAGCAGAACAGAAAGGAACAAGAGAATGAAGAGGAAAAGGGAAGGAGCAAGAGTAGGGAGCTAAAAGGAGAGAAGGCAAAGGAGGTATACGTATAAAAAAAAAAAAAAAAAAAAAAAAAAAAATAGATATAATTTCAAGTCTAAGTGAAGCTACCATACCTTGCATGGCAGGGGTGAGTGGATTGTATGCTATACTACTGTCTGAGTTCATCATGTCCTCATTGTTAGCCTCCTCCTCCTTTGGTTCCTCTAACACTTCTGTCTTGACTATAGTTTCATCATGAACAAGAACCTTTGTAAAAACAAACAAACAGTATGATAAGCCACAAAGATTTTTAGTATTAGTTAATTAAAATGAGATTAAGCTAAAACCCTCTGTACAATATGCCGAACAATGTGAGAATACAATGTAAAATAAATAAGATTTTTTTAAATAAAATATTAACTCTCTGAGAGTCTGTCCCGTAGTTCTACGGCTTTGAAGGTAGGGTCCAAGTCGTAGTACTACACCATGAGCTCAGCTCACTCAGATAAGCTGTGAGCAGTAAATTTGAGCCTAGATATGAGAGAATGCATCTATGTGGTAAGTGTGCACCATATAAAACAAATCCTGCAGCACAGAATGCATGAGAGAAAAAAATTGTGACTGTGTTTTTGGATTAAAGCAGCGACTTTGCGGTGTATATTCATATGTTTTTTGCAGTTGAATTTGCAGTTTCTTGGTCTCATTTGATAGAATGGAAGATATATTACAGAAATAGAGATGATTTTGATTGGTTTTACTAGAGAAAATAGCTTGAAATTGAGCTCAAAGTAGCAGAAATGTTCGATTTTTGCTCATGTTCAAGAGTAAACATATGACATCACATGGCCAATACATGTCAGCTGCTGGGTCTAATGTGTGTTCACGAATGCGTTGATATTATTCCAACAGTTATTACAATATTGCATAACAGTAAATCTTCTATTTTTTGGTGTAAAAAAAATTCATTATGTGAATAAAAAATCAAAATGGAATTCATTTGCAAAGCCTGGAAACGTAACTAATAAGAGAGGAAATGTTATTTTTGTGCCAGGAATGCCTGCATTGTTTATTCTGGACCCTATTTTGAAATTGAAATATTTTGAACTATGTGAAATTGGCCAAATTACCAATTTCCAATCACTCTATTGGGTAGTTGAAATAGTTGACTGGGCAATTTCTTGTGCTCAATCAATAAAACAGAAGTAATACTAGGGAACTAGCTAAGAATTTGGTTGACTGGAATAATGTAACTGGCCTAAAATGGGAGTCAAAGTGCGGAAAATCACCGATGCATAAATACTGCTGACGCAGCAAAATTCACGAGAGCGTAATTTTGTCAATTTTCCATCAAATTTCATACTTTTTGTTTTATTACCTTCAGAAAAAGATTCCCTACCATTTCATACATTTTTTCTTTTTTGAAAATTCTTAGACCCTGTGGACAAGTTTCAGATCGGGGGTCTGGACCCTGAAAAGGTTAACCCTTTCACTGTCCAGACCCCCAAAATTAATATTGTTTTGTGTCCACTTTTGTTTTTTATTATTTTTTCTTCTCAAATGAGAGAAAATCTTTTTCTGAAGTTAATGATGCCAGAAGTATGAAACTTAACAGAAAAGTTATGGAATTACACAGGCTTAAAGTTAGCAATTTAGGCACAATTTACATATTGGTGATTTCGCTCACTTTGATTCCTATTTTAAGCCAATTAGTTATTTCGCTAGCATGCAGTCCGTTCTATCGAATAAGCACAAGAAATAGCCATAGAAATATTACAACTACCCTATAAAGTGCACAGAAGTCAGTAATTTGGCAAATTTTACACAAAATTTAAAAAATACCAATTTAAAAACAAAGTCCAAAATAAACAATACAGATACAGGAGGGAGGGGGTAAAGGAGGTTTTGTGAGTGAGGGGCTTGGACTTCCAGCAAGTGTGCATGAGTGTGTTAGACAGGAGTGAACTGAGACAAATGGTTTTTGGACCTGACGAGCTATTGGAGTGCAGGCAGGGTAATATTTTGTGAAGGGACTCAAGGAAACCAGTTAGCCAGACTTGAGTCCTGGAAATGGGAAGTACAGTAGAACCTCAGTATACTTGAATAGCCCCCTATTCAAATACTTCGGTATTTGAACGCTTTGTTCGGTAAAAAAAATCGCTCGGTAGTCGACCATTTGCTCAGCACTCGACCAAACACAACCTGCTACAACTTCACTGTAAACTATTTTGTGTTTCTTTGCATATTTTTTTTATATTATTTGTATAAGTAAGTCACCATGAGCCTAAGAAGATTAGTGAAAACAGCCAACAAAAAAGAAAAGTGGTTTGGAAAAATTCATTTGGTACTTGAACAGATCAACACTTAAACAGCCTTCTGGAATGAATTAAGTTTGAGTACTGAGATTCCACTGTACAATGTTTGCACTTTAAAGGAGGGGTTTGGGATAATGGCAGTTCCTAGGAACATCTAAACTGTCATATCTGAACGCTTCTGCAAAGACAGTGATTACGTATGAGTGATGGTGAAAGTATTGAATGATGAAAGTTTTTTCTTACTTTTTGGGTTTTCTTTCTTTTTGGGGTTTTTCTTTCTTTTTGGGTTTTTCTTTCTTTTTGGGCTTTTCTTTCTTTTTGGGGTCACCCTGCCTCAGTGGAAAATGGCTGACATGTTAAATAAAAAAAAGATACAGGAGGGCCCCACTTATACAGCAGGTTAGATTCCAGGCTATCGCTGTAAAGTGAAAATCACTGTTAAACAAATCATAGCCATTTTTTCACTTTCAAATACATATAAAAGTCTGCCCTCCTCCCCTCCACTACAGATTTATACACCCTCCAAGTCAACCTATTTTTGCTCCATCTTCTCTAAATGACCAAACCACCTCCATAACCCCTCTTCAGCCCTCTGAATAATACTTTTAGTAACTCCACACTACAAATTCTCTGCATAATATTTATGCCACACATTGCCCTAAGACACAACAACTCCACTGGCTCCAGCATCTTTCTCGCTGCAGCATTAAGAACCCATGTTTCACACCCATATAAGTGTTGGTACCACTATGGAAGAAGTATGGAAGAAGTGAATGTTTTCAGATACTTGGGAGTTGACGTGTCGGCGGATGGATTTATGAAGGATGAGGTTAATCATAGAATTGACGAGGGAAAAAAGGCGAGTGGTGCGTTGAGGTATATGTGGAGTCAAAAAACGTTATCTATGGAGGCAAAGAAGGGAATGTATGAAAGTATAGTAGTACCAACACTCTTATATGGGTGTGAAGCTTGGGTGGTAAATGCAGCAGCGAGGAGACGGTTGGAGGCAGTGGAGATGTCCTGTTTAAGGGCAATGTGTGGTGTAAATATTATGCAGAAAATTCGGAGTGTGGAAATTAGGAGAAGGTGTGGAGTTAATAAAAGTATTAGTCAGAGGGCCAGAAGAGGGGTTGTTGAGGTGGTTTGGTCATTTAGAGAGAATGGATCAAAGTAGAATGACATGGAAAGCATATAAATCTATAGGGGAAGGAAGGAGGGGTAGGGGTCGTCCTCGAAAGGGTTGGAAGAGGGGGGTAAAGGAGGTTTTGTGGGTAAGGGGCTTGGACTTCCAGCAAGCGTGCGTGAGCGTGTTAGATAGGAGTGAATGGAGACGAATGGTTCTTGGGACCTGACGATCTGTTGGAGTGTGAGCAGGGTAATATTTAGTGAAGGGATTCAGGGAAACCGGTTATTTTCATATAGTCGGACTTGAGTCTGGAAATGGGGAAGTACAATGCCTGCACTTTAAAGGAGTGGTTTGGGATATTGGCAGTTTGGAGGGATATGTTGTGTATCTTTATACGTATATGCTTCTAAGCTGTTGTATTCTGGGCACCTCTGCAAAAGCAGTGATAATGTGTGAGTGTGGTGAAAGTGTTGAATGATGATGAAAGTATTTTCTTTTTGGGGATTTTCTTTCGTTTTTGGGGTCACCCTGCCTCGGTGGGAGACGGCCGACTTGTTGAAAAAAAAAAAAAAAACCACTATACTCTTGTACATTCCCTTCTTTGCTTCCATGGATAACATCTTTTGTCTCCACAGATACCTCAATGCACAACTCACCTTTTTTCTTTCATCAATTCTACTAGTACATTATTATTATTATAAAAAAAAAAAAAAAAAAAAAAAAACGCTAAGCCACAAGGACTATACAGCTCTACTAGTACAAAGGATAAAGTAGAGCCCATAGCAACAATAATAGTTTGAGAATGCTATAACAGTTGCTGTAGAAAGAGAAGAATTTAGAATCAACAAAAAGGATTGAAAGACTAATAAGAATAGGGAAATGAAATATCCTCTTGATAATGGGTCACAGAACAGATAAAAACACTGCCAGTTTATATGTTCAATACATTGTGACCCAATTTCAAATTAAACCATTCATCCCATGAGTTGTATAGAAATGGAAATAAGATTTAAAATATAAAAATCCAATAAACACAACTTGGGTGTAGAACTATCTTACCTCTACATTTTGACTAGGAGATGATGTAGGCGGCATGTCTTTTTGTCTGTCTCCTCTCCCTCTTTCTGTGTCAGATGGACGGTCTCTGACATCTTTTTTTTCTCTACTGCTGTCTTGACTAGGACCGGATTGGGGAAAAACAGTGTTAGAAAAAGCCTCATCAGAAGCTCGAGAAGGAGGCCTAGCTGCATTTGTACGTATGGATTCTCTACTCTCTCTAGATGAAGGGTCTCTTGAAAGTCTAGAATCCTCAAAGTTTTGGTTATGCAAAGAGAAACCTTCTTCATGTCTCACACGCTTAGCTTGCGGTGGACTATTGTCTCTAGTGCTAGCACTCCGCTTATCCTTATTGGCACTTCTGGATGAGGGAGCTTCATCGGGCACCGCTAAACCTTTTATCTTTAGACACTCTGCTGCTTTTATTAGTCCAGCTAAATCTGCCTGCAGCACATTCACCTCTCCTAAGTACATATAATTGAGTAGAGCCTCAAGCTCCTCATGCTTCACATCTTTTAACACTATCACAGGATGCTTGCACTGAGTTCTATTAAAAATTTCTTCGAAGTATTCACTACACGTTGAAAGCACCAGCTTGTGCACAGGGTAAAATTTCCCTTCACAGGCCAGCGTCACATCACAATACGATTCCTGTACATAAAGAACAAGTTGTTAAATAGTATCGTATGTACAACTGTTGTATTATCATCTAATCATTCTCCTTAGAAAAACTACACAAAATAATGAGTTTCCCAAGTGAGGAGCATACTATAATGGTAGTGGGTTTGTGTCAACCATCTTTGATATTGTCTTAATGTCACCTTTGCACCATTTATAACATTTCTGGTATATTTTTATATGTTTATACAGTAGTGTACTGTATATTGATATAAACAGAATAGAGGAAATCAGCTCTAATATATATTATTTAGGTATAAATACTGGTCAGAGAGCCCATTGTAAGTCCGAGGCATTGGTAAATGAGTACAGTGGACCCCCGCATAACGATTACCTCCGAATGCGACCAATTATGTAAGTGTATTTATGTAAGTGCGTTTGTACGTGTATGTTTGGGGGTCTGAAATGGACTAATCTACTTCACAATATTTCTTATGGGAACAAATTCGGTCAGTACTGGCACCTGAATATACTTCTGGAGTGAAAAAATATCGTTAACCGGGGGTCCACTGTACATCGTTTCAGTGAGGAGAGGCTGTATACAATATCAATAAAAAAATTGTAGCAAAAATGTGTGGTCCCTAGAAATTTCTTGTCATGTTAATTAGTCTTGACAAACTGATCATCAACAATATATAATAGATTTACTCCATACAAAAATATCTAATGCTTCTAAGAAAAAAATTCCCAGTCTTAAATAAAGCACAGTATTTCCTGTTAATATTTAATTGAAATACAAGTAGTAAACCAGCGTGGATCATACAACACTGAGGAATATATCTTATAAGTTATCTGTAAAGTTTTATGTAGAGCAGCTCAATGAGCATTAAACACAGTTAGGAATTCAATATAAACTTATTTTTTTCTGGTACACTGAATAAAGGAAGATCACAAACTCACTTTACACCTAATGCTTATACTGTGGTGCTTTTGAGGGTATGCTACCACCGAGATTGTATTGTAGAGCTGGGAAGTGTAAAAAAAAAATTTTTTTGATTATACTGTACATAGGTTTTCTTTGTTAGTTTATCCAATTGTGATAAAATTTAAATATATACGTATTACATTTCATAAAAAATTAACTAACGTGAAAAGTATATACTGTAATATATACAATAAATTACAATAACACAAGTAACAAAAATAACTGGCATGTTACCTTTCTTCTAATGGTTGACAATACATGGAAGAAAGTAGTTCCATGATTGTTCCACTTTAGGGATAATAACCCAGTGTCCATTTTCCACTATCACTCCTGCAAAAAAAAAAAAAATAAATAAAATAAATAAAGATATTAAAGCAATCAGATATTAGACGACGACATTTCGTGTGAGATACTTTCCACAAAAACAGAGCTATATGTGAAAATCCAATAGATGGAGTGAATAACTTGTGGGGAAAAAAAGGTTACATTCTGTGCCACCACCAACAAAGCAAAACAACTTTTCTTGTAAATGCATAGTTAACCTAAAATAATATAGGCTAAAAATGCAAAACCACTTTTCTTGTAAATGCACATGGCAGTAAAGCAATTGCAAAGAATTACAGACTGATAACACAAACGTCCCCATCATAAAAATCTTTGAAAGGGTTCTAAGAAGTAAGATCGCCAACAGGAAAAGTGGGTAGATGGATCTATAACTTCCTTACATGTGCAGGCGAGAAAGGTACATCATAATTTACACCTGGAAAATCCAAGGACTGGTCCCAAATCTTCACACAGAAATCACTCCCTATGAAAGCAGAAGACTTGGCAGATGGTGCAACATCCTCCAATGAAAAGCATGGGTGTCATGAGTACATCAAGAGAAAACACAATAAGTGTCAGGGGCCCAAGGCTGTTCAACAGCCTCCCATCATACATAAGGTTGTGGGGTTACAATTATACCCTTATCTGTCTTCAAGAGGGAACTGGACAGATACCAAAAGTCAGTGCCTGACTAGCCAGGCCCGGTGGCCTGGTGGCTAAAGCTCCCGCTTCACACACGGAGGGCCCGGGTTCGATTCCCGGCGGGTGGAAACATTTCAACATATTTCCTTACACCTATTGTCCTGTTCACCTAGCAGCAAATAGGTACCTGGGTGTTAGTCGACTGGTGTGGGTCGCATCCTGGGGGACAAGATTAAGGACCCCAATGGGAATAAGTTAGACAGTCCTCGATGACGCACTGACTTTCTTGGGTTATCCTGGGTGGCTAACCCTCCGGGGTTAAAAATCCGAACGAAATCTTATCTTATCTTATCTTAGTTTGTACAATGGACTGTGTGTGGCAAGCAGTTAACAGCTTAGTTGATCAACCCATGCTTCCCCATGAGGCCTGGTCATGCACCAGGCCACAGGAGCAGGGACCCCCACAATAACCTCCAGGTAGGTTAGGTCCTCTTCAACGTGGTACTACTCGCATAACTGCTGGAGTGTTAACTGTTTCTCTGCAGACTCTTTCCTCATCCTCTTCACCTTCTTCTATCTGAGAATTCAGCTCTGCCAACCTTTCCTCTGGACTTTTCTTCCTCATCATCTAATAGTTCCCTGACATCTTCTGGCTGCATATCTTCAAAGTCCTCACCTGGCAATCTCCTTGCCAGCTGAACAATTTCCCTGACTTGACTCTCAACTGAGAAAAATCCTGAGAAATTATTCACAACACTAGGACATAATTTTCTCCAGCCTGCATTTATTGCTGATATTGGCACATTATCCTATGCACCTTTACATGGCATAATGTGGAAAGGTGCATCTGCAATACCGACTATGCCAGAACTCTGGCACTCTGAACTCTGAGTCAACATCAATTGCTGCAAGCAGTTTCTTCACCACTCCACGTATGTAGATACTACACTTAAATAACATTACACCTTGATCCAGTTGTTGTATCAGTGATGCTGTATTTGGTGGGAAAAATAATGAACCTTTACATTTAGGTTCCAATCCTGCAACAGGTCAGGATAAGCATGGGAATTATCAAGTCAGAAGAATCTTCTATGTGAGGTTCTGGCAGAGCTGATAAAAACATGACTTCAGGAATGAAATGATGCTTGAATCAGTCAACAAATAATCCCCATCATCCATGTTGACTGGTTTGACTGCCAGATAATAGGCAAAGTGGTTTTTGTCTTTCTGTCTTAAGGCAGAGGGATTCTTTGAGTAATATACATACAAGTATGGGTCTACACTTAGTGACCTGTTGCATTACCATACAGCAGCAGCAAACTAAAAGGTCATTTGGTGGCTTAAAGCCAGGAGCCCTTTTTTCTTGCTTGCTTTTCCAAGGTCTATAAGGTATCTTCTTTTAGTATAATCCTATCTCATCAGCATTAAACACCTACTTATGTGCACAATTAACCCTTGGAAATCATTTCCTGCAGCTCGGCAACAAAATTCTCTGCTGCATAAGCTGGCCATGTCAGAGTGCAAGATGAAAATGGGCAGAACCACTGCTAAAGGTAGCGAACTTCAGGGCGAAAGATGGCAAGTGAAATAAAAAATCAATTATGAACAGAAAGAAATGCAGCACCTGGAGGCAAGAAAGGTGGTGGTCCAATGTACAATGGACCCCCGCATAGCGACCTTAATCCGTGCAAGAGGGCTGGTTGTTATGCGAAATGTTCGGTATGCGAATGAATTTTCCCCATAAGAAATAATGGAAATCAAATTAATCCGTGCAAGACACCCAAAAGTATGAAAAAAAAATTTTTACCACATGAAATATACATTTTCCTACACACAAAGAGAAGGATACATGCACAATAGTAGAGTAGTACATGCACAATATATATTGTGCATGTACTACTCTACTAAATGAAGAATAAATGACACTTACCTTTCATTGAAGATGCAGCAAGGGACTGATGAGACACTGTGTCCTGGGAGTGCCTTTTCCTCCTGAGTTACTGTAGGTCCTGTTTGGCATTTTCTTCCAGAACAGGCCTTATCACACTGTGTATGCCACTACGATTCTTAAATCTCTCAAAACCAACCTTTGCTGGCTTTAAATTCACCAATATGAGCACTAGTTCCAGGCATTTTTCCCTGTTCACCTGGGTGTTAGTCGACTGGTGTGGGTTGATCCTGGGAGACAAGATTAAGGACCCCAATGGAAATAAGTTAGACAGTCTTCGATGACACTGACTTTTTTGGGTTATCCTGGGTGGCAAATCCTCTGGGGTTAATTGTTTCTTGGTATTCTCAATAAGCCACACACAACAACGGTGCTACAGCAGCAGCAGCAGCTGACGGTGGTACAGCAGCAACAGACGATGCTACAGCAGCAACAGACGATGCTACAGCAGCAGCAGACGATGCTACAGTAGCAACAGACGATGCTACAGCAGCAGCAGACGATGCTACAGCAGCAGCAGACGATGCTACAGCAGCAGCAGACGATGCTACAGCAGCAGCAGCGATGCTACAGCAGCAGCAGCAGCTGACGGTGGTACAACAGCAGCAGCAGCTGACAGTGCAGCAGCAGCTGTACCACCAATAGTAGCGATGGTTGATTGGGGTTTATTATACAACCTGGCCAGCTCGGAGACACGCACTCCACTTTCATACTTATCAATGATCTTTTTCTTCATCTCTATAGTAATTCTCACCCTTATTGCTGTAGGGTTGGCACTAGAAGCTTTCTTGGGGCCCATGGTCACTTATTTTCCAGAAAAAAATCACCAAAAACACTGTAATAATACGAAATGTTCCGATTGTATGCTTGGATGTTACTGCGGAGGCTGGCTGGTAAACAATGCCACTGGCGGAACATGTGAGCGTGGCTCAGGCCGCACATTGGACGCGTCTCGGACGAAGGGCGGTGAGCGGGTTTTTGGGCGGTATGCGAGGCAAAATTTTTGCGAAAAAAGCGAGCGGTATGCGGATTGTACGGTATGCGATGCGTGCGGTATGCGGGGGTCCACTGTACAGTGGACCCCCGCTTAACGATCACCTCCAAATGCGACCAATTATGTAAGTGTATTTATGTAAGTGCGTTTGTACGTGTATGTTTGGGGGTCTGAAATGGACTAATCTACTTCACAATATTCCTTATGGGAAAAAATTCGGTCAGTACTGGCACCTGAACATACTACTGGAATGAAAAAAGTTCGTTACCCGGGGGTCCACTGTATATACATTTTTTATGGCTTGCATTACCAATTTTTATGATTTGCGAGATAAAATGACAAGACTTCAAAATGTACAGTATTACTGTGCCTGCATTTGTAGAGCAGTAAACCATCAATGTAAGTGACTAATAAGGGATTGAACATTAAAATGGTATAAAATACCGACAGGTTGTTAGGTAAGACACATATGCAACAGTTAGGTATCTTTATTATGAAACGTTTCGCCTACACAGTAGGCTTCTTCAGTCAAGTACAGAAAAGTTGATAGAAGCAGAAGATACTTGAAGACGATGTAATCAGTCCATCACCCTTAAAGTTTTGAGGTGGTCAGTCCCTCAGTCTGGAGAAGAGCATTGTTCCATAATATGAAACAATATGGAGATGAAGTGACAGGATGGAGCTTTTCATAGCGCCAAGAGGAGAGACGTAGGCCACTAGGAGAGGTAAGAACTCAGATGTTGAGAGGTCAGGTCCCTCTCAAATCCAGCCGCTCTCACTAGTGGAAGTTGTCGAAGTTGATTGCAGGTCTGTACCAAGATACCCTTGTGTTGCAGTGTCTGACAGATTGAACATTAAAATGGTATAAAATACCGACAGGTTGTTAGGTAAGACACATATGCAACAGTTAGGTATCTTTATTATGAAACGTTTCATAATAAAGATACCTAACTGTTGCATATGTGTCTTACCTAATAAGGTATTGTCCATATGTCCCTTAATAATCAGAATACTAAAAATAGAAAAAAAAGTACTCTACTGTATACTTAATACAGTACTGCAATGAACATTGGAAATAAAAAGAGTTAAGAGTACAATTTACTCAGTGGACATTGCCTATCATCTTAAAAGTCAGTTACGTATATGGACATTCGTTATATTGAGGGTTTACCTTATTTAATAGAGCTGTTTGAATTCTGCATACCTAGGATAATAATTTATTTTCCAGACTAGGAGTGGATTTTTATGATTTATAACATACAAAATTATCATGATTTGTATTAGCATTTTTTACAACTAGTATTAGCACATTTTATGACTCATATTGGCAGTATTAATCGTAATTTTGTATTAACTAATTTTATCTGGATTAATAGTTTGCAATAAGCTCCTATTTTTTGCATTAGCAGTGGTAGTTTTATTTTTATTGTGTGTATTATTTGTTTCTACAGGAAAGAGTAAGGTTATGTGGATAACAAAAAAAAAATGGTGATGAAAGATTGGATATCAGATTGGAGGGAGAGAGTATGGAGGAGGTGAATGTATTCAGATATTTGGAAGTGGACGTATCAGCGGATGGGTCTATGAAAGATGAGGTGAATCATAGAATTGATGAGGGGAAAAGGGTGAGTGGTGCACTTAGGAGTCTGTGGAGACAAAGAACTTTGTCCTTGGAGGCAAAGAGGGGAATGTATGAGAGTATAGTTTTACCAACGCTCTTATATGGTTGTGAAGCATGGGTGATGAATGCTGCAGCGAGGAGAAGGCTGGAGGCAGTGGAGATGTCATGTCTGAGGGCAATGTGTGGTGTGAATATAATGCAGAGAATTCGTAGTTTGGAAGTTAGGAGGTGCGGGATTGCCAAAACTGTTGTCCAGAGGGCTGAGGAAGGGTTGTTGAGGTGGTTCGGACATGTAGAGAATGGAGCGAAACAGAATGACTTCAAAAGTGTATCAGTCTGTAGTGGAAGGAAGGCGGGGTAGGGGTCGGCCTAGGAAAACTTGGAGGGAGGTGGTAAAGGAGGTTTTGTGTGCGAGGGGCTTGGACTTCCAGCGGGCATGCATGAGCGTGTTTGATAGGAGTGAATGGAGACAAATGGTTTTTAATACTTGACGTGCTGTTGGAGTGTGAGCAAAGTAACATTTATGAAGGGATTCAGCGAAACCGGCAGGCTGGACTTGAGTCCTGGAGATGGGAAGTACAGTGCCTGCACTCTGAAGGAGGGGTGTTAATGCTGCAGTTTAAAAACTGTAGTGTAAAGCACCCTTCTGGCAAGACAGTGATGGAGTGAATGATGGTGAAAGTTTTTCTTTTTTGGGCCACCCTGCCTTGGTGGGAATCGGCCAGTGTGCTAATAAAAAAAAAAATGTAAAAGTTTTGCATTAGCCATTTCTATGATCTGTATTAGCAGTTTCAAGAATGTTTATTAACTCTCTGATTTGTATTACTGGTAGTTATTTCTATGGTTTGTATTACCAGCTATTTATTTATATGTACAGTGGAACCTCAAATTTCGAACGTATTGCTTATCGAACTCTTCAAAAATAGAACCCTTTTTTCGAAGCAACTTTGTCCCTATTATCGAACTTGCCCCTATTTTCGAACCGCCGGGTACTGGACCTGTCCGGCAGCCTGCTCTGTCCACGTCCCCACGCAGGCGCCTTGAGCCAGTCTGGTTTTGTCAATGCTTGAGTGAACACTAACCTGTGCTCTCATTCAAACATTTTACGATTATTTCATTGTATTTAGTGCTTGTGGGACTGTGAAATAAGCTACAATGGGCCCAAAGAAACTTGCTAGTGGTACCCTCTGGTAAAGAAAGTGAGAAACACCATAGATGTGAAGGAAATAATACAGAAGTGGAATGATGTCCAAATGTTTGTGGAGAAGTACCACCCTGAGCAATCTGAAACAAGCCATCTTTGCAATAAGTTCAGTGACAGAACCATGTCCCATTTTAGGGAAATCTTAAAGAGGCACCAGAAACAGAGGACAGTGGACAGTTATTTTGTGAGACAGGGGTCCAGTGACTCTCAAGCTGGTCCTAGTGGCATTAAAAGACAGAGAAGGGAAGTAACCCCAGAGAGGGCTTTGATACCTGAAGTCCTCATGGAGGGGGATTCGCCTTCCAAACACTAACCCCAACTCCCTCTCTCCTCCTCCCTATCTTCCAGATGCCATCACCAATCTTCACTAAAGGTAAGTAAATGTTATTTTATATGTTAATTTAATTGAACAATATATTTGTTGTATCTAAAACTATAATTAATCTCTACAAATTTTTTTTTTTTTTTGTGAATATTTTTGGCTTCTGGAACGGATTAATTGTATTTCCATTATTTCTTATGGGAAGTATTGCTTCGCTTTTCAGACTTTTCAAATTTAGAACTAACTCCTGGAATGGATTAAGTTCGATATTTGAGGTTCCACTGTACTATCTGATTTTATTTCATTTAGCTGTTTTTATTATATGATAACTGTACATATAATTTGTAATGTTTCTCTTTTGCCTTAGCCAGCTAGTAATAATAATAATAATAATAATAATAATAATAATAATAATAATAATAATAATAATATTTTATTTCAGCATGATACAATGTTTGTACAAAGGTGAATGACATTTAAATGTACATGCAATAAGTCCCTATATATGTAGAGCATTTCAGGCAAATTTAAGACTAACTTAAAATTAATAGGGCAATAACAATATGAGTAATTTTATACATACATTCACTTGGGTGAGTGTAAATATAATTTAGGAGTTTATAATGAATACAAGAGGGCTGAATATCCTACTAGTTCATGCTATATGGCTTTTAAAGTTTAAGTGAAAGGAATTACATGTTTGATTATTAACAAAAGGGGATATAATCAATATTTTAATGTTTGAGAGGATTACAGATATTGATAGTAAGTTTGTATTGCTTTACACATGTTTGTGACATTGAGAATATGCATGTGCAGTTTTCCCTTATTTAGCAGATGCTGGAACATGTTAGGGAGATAAGGTGCATTTTAACAGTAGTTTTGAAAATGCTGACTGAGACAGTGGTTCTGGAGATTTCTGGCAGAGTTCCAGATTTTGGGCCCTTTTATGTACAATGAATTTTTGAAGAAATTTAGCCGGACATAGGAAATGTCATAGTAATTTTTGTGCCTAGTATTATGTCTATGGGTCCTGTTGCAACTGTCAAGAAAGTGCTTCTGATTGGAATTGATATTAGAATTTCTTGCTTTGTCAATGTAGGATGCACAGCATCCTACATCTCACATTTACTGTTTTGGATACTTTTATTGTCGTGTGTTAGGTATGGGTGTTGAATTTCAAGTTGGTGTCAAGGTGGAGAACCAGAAATTTTCCCTCAATATGTTTAGCAATAAGGGTATTGTTAATCATAATGTTTAGTTGGACATCACTTGCCCTGCTCCCAGGGCAATTTCCTGTCCAATATTTAGAAACTTTGCATTTGTCTATATTAAACTGCATCTGCCACTTCTCTGACCATTGCATCAGTCTATTCAAATCTTCCTGGAGTGCTCTAACATCCTCGTCAGAATGTATTCGACGGCCTATTTTGGCGTCATTGGCAAACTCGCTTATGTCGCTCTTTATGCCCTCATCAATGTCGTTTATGTATGTTGTGAACAACAGGGGGCCCAACACCTAACTTGAAATAACAGTTTCTATTATTTGTACTGTTAATTTTAACGACTATTTGCATCAGCAATTTCTGTGATTCATAGCAGAAGCTGTTTTTATCTGTATTAGTTTTTATTATTTGTATTTGCTATTTTTATGATTTGAATTTGTAACTGATTTAAATTAGCATTTTATGATAAATATTAGTAGCTGCTATGATTTGTATCAGCTATTTCTAATATTTCTTTTAAATAATAATTTTAAATGTTAAACTGTTTTAGATCTGTGTAAAATCACCACCAACTGTTACTGTTATATGCCTATACTGTACTGTATACAATAAAATTACATTTTTTATTTAGGCTTAATAAGTAAACTTTTGCAATGATTTTATACACAGTAGTAAATTCTGCAGAATTTAACCTATATTATTATTATAAATCCAGGGGAAGCGCTAAACCCGTAGAATTTAAGCCTATAACCTCTGTGATATTAAATTCACCATCTACATAATTATTATAATCAAGGAAAGTGCTAAGTGCACAAGTCATACAGCGCTGGGGAATGGAAGGTTATCAGCTTTGATCTAAAGAAGAGGGCAGCTCAAAGTACTTGAAACAAAAGCTTTTTTTTTTTTACCAGCATCACGGTACGTAGGTATTTGCAACTCCAGTATGTGATGACTGAGAGGCAGTGGGGTGATGAAGCCTGGAATCATTATAATATAATGAAACTGAGTTTTTTTTCATTATTGTTGGTCTGAGTATCATTTGTGTTATGTGGCTTTACTATTTACATATGCCACAACATGTACTATTTGTTTGAGGTGTTTGTGCCCCTCAAGGAAGGTTCCTTGATGTTGATGAGGGGCTCTTGATTTAGGGAATTGGATCTGTGCTCCAGTTCCCCGAATTAAGCCTGAATGCCTTCCACATCCCCCCCTAGGCGCTGTATAATCCTCCGGGTTTAGCGCTTCCCCTTGATAATAATAATAATTGAGGTGTTTGTAAGGATCTGCATAAAGTACTTGTAGGGATTTGCATCGTCTCCTGGGATTTAACCCGAGACGAACAGATGAAGAGGAATTATCTGAAGACAGCAAGTACCTCGAATTCCTTATATAACAAGTCATTCAGCAACATCAAGGCACCTCCTCACCCTTGAAGAATACACCAAAATAATAATGTGACGTGGTACCCGTCATCCCAAGGTCCCGTCCCCTCCCACCTTCCTCCCCCGGAATATTTTTTTTTTCAAGTGAGCTGACCACTACTGTGACCTCCCAGCCATCACATGCCTCACTCTCCACACGCTTACTTCAATACATCACAATACAAATGTCCCCATTCAAGGTTACATCATCTATTTAGCGACTATCAATTTGGCCGTCGGAGGTGTGATGCTGCTACTGAGGGAGCTGGAGCAAGGATTACCACCGTTTCTGGGGAGTAACTGCGTGGTTTATATAGGTGTTAAGGTAGTTGATATAAGCAGGTGAGAGTGCTGGGTTTAGAGGTGTGCATGAGTTGGTTGAGGTCAGCTTACTTGTGTCATTGCTGAGTCAGGGAGGACAGACGCCACCATCACAAGCGACGCGCAACAGATCCTCGGGGAATTTCCTCGCCCACTACGAACCTATCTATATTTCACGGCTTTTCTTCCGGTTTTTAATTTATACTTCCAACTTATTATTCGTTAATCGTACCATAATAAAATCTGGACATTATTCGAAAGATTTTAATACCTATTGGATTAGAATTTTATAATATATTGTTGCTCAATCATTTGTTGACCAATAGCGTAAGTAACACATCTGACTAATGACTACTAATAAATGACATCATATACTCTTAGAATGATCTAGTGATCTCAGTATATCAAAATAAATTACAAATTGTGATCTGTATAGACATGAACATATATTCATTACTAATCGGATACGTCTGTATTCCTCTTAAAGTCAGGGTGTGCATTCAGGCAGAGATAAGATAAGAGTTTATTAGGATTATTAACCACGAAGGCTTACTAAACCTTGCAGCTCAGTTCTGGTCTCCATATTACAGAATAGATATAAATTCGTTAGAAAACATTCAGCAAAGAATGACAAAATTAATACATAAATAATCTTCCTCATGAAGAAATACCGAAGTCCCTTAAATTACATTCTCTTTAAGATGAAGAATGAGGGGAGACATGATTGAAGTCTATAAGTGGAAGATGAGTATTAACAAAGTGGATATAAATAAGGTCCTGAGAATATCCCTCTATGAAAGAACTCGCAATAATGGATTCAAATTAGATTTAGAAAGGATGGATATAGACTCATTAGAGAACATACAGAGAAGAATGACTAAAATGATTTACTGTGTAAGGAACCTTCCGTATGAAGATAGACTCAAAGCCTTAAATCTCCACTCTCTGGAGAGGCGAACATCAAAATGGTATACAATACCGACAGGTTGTTAGGTAAGACACATATGCAACAGTTAGACAACTTTATTCCGAAACGTTTCGCCTACACAGTAGGCTTCTTCAGTCGAATACAGAAAGTAGGCAGGAACAGTAGAGATGTGAAGACGATGTAATCAGTCCATCACCCTTAAAGTCGTAGAATTTGAGGTTGTCAGTCCCTCGGCCTGGAGAAGTTCAGTTCCATAGATAGTTCCTGACTATGGAACTGAACTTCTCCAGGCCGAGGGACTGACAACCTCAAATTCTACGACTTTAAGGGTGATGGACTGATTACATCGTCTTCACATCTCTACTGTTCCTGCCTACTTTCTGTATTCGACTGAAGAAGCCTACTGTGTAGGCGAAACGTTTCGGAATAAAGTTGTCTCTCTGGAGAGGCGTAGAATGAGGGGAGATATCATTGAAGTGTATAAGTGGATGGCGGGCATAAACAAGGGAGATATTAATAAAGTACTGAGGGTGTCGAACCAGGTAAGAACCAGGAATAATGGATTTAAGTTGGATAAATTTAGATTTAGAAAGGACATAGGTAAGTACTGGTTTTCTAACAGAGTTGTAGATGCGTGGATCAGTCTTCCCAGTGGGGTGATAGAGGCTAGGACCTTGTGTGGCTTTAAGAAGAGACTGGACAAATATATGAGTGGGAGGGGCTGGGTTTGGTTGGTGTCATTGGGTACGGGAGTTATTTCTAGGGAAGCTTTAGGTAGTAGTCGTTTTGATAAGGACCTGCCTCGCATGGGCCAGTAGGCCTTCTGCAGCGTTCCTCCATTCTTATGTTCTTATGTAGGAAAGTGCTGGTTTGGAATAAATTCAAATTCAAATTCAAAGTTTATTCTCTATAAGGATTACAATGCTGAGTTTACAGAAATTTGGTTATTGTGTGGTTTACATGTAGTAAAATTGTGATTACAAAGTGTACCACTAGAACGCTTAGCATGGCTAGGCATTTCGGGCAGACTTAGTTTTATTCTTAATTGTAAAATATTACAAATTATGAGGTAAGTTGGTATTATGGCTAAGTGACTAAATACTAGTTTGTGAGTTTAGCAATGTGAATGCTTTTGTTTTGGCACAGTACATAGTTTCAGTATTGGAGTATCACAGGATTCATATTTTAAGATTGAGATTAATATTTCTGTTTATGGTCAAATGAGTGAGTGAGTGTAAGTGTGAACCACCAGGTGGTATTCGTGTAGTTAGTTGACGGGATGTATCAGGGAGATAAGATGTTTTCTAATGGTATTTTTGAAGGTGATGAATGTGTCTGCAGTTCTAGAGTTCTCAGGTAGGGTATTCCAGATTTTAGGGCCTTTGACATACATTGAATTTTTGTAAAGGTTTAGTCGGACTCGGGGAATGTCGTAGAGATGTTTGTGTCTGGTGTTATGCCTGTGGGTTCTGTCACAACTATCAAGAAAGCGTTTTAGGTCAAGGTTGATATTAGAGTTTAAGGCCCTGTAGATATAGATTGCACAGTAGTAAGTGTGGATGTACTGAACTGGGAGTAAGTTTAGGTCTATGAAGAGTGGGGGGGGGGGGGTGTTGCCAGGGATGGGATTTAGTGATTATTCTTACTGCAGCTTTTTGTTGGGTTATTATTGTTAGGTAAGCCACATATGCTTATGTACATAGTTCTACTGTCTTCAAGTTGTCCTAGAATTTGTATTGATAAAGCCACTGGATGGCGAAACGTCTACAATAAAGATACCCAGATGTTGCACATGTGTCTTACTCTCACATATGCTTATTATTGGCTTTAGGTGTGTTGCTGCAGTTGATCCCCAAGCACAAATAGCATAGGTGAGGTATGGATAAATAAGTGAGTGGTATAGTGTGAGAAGGGCATTTTGCGGCACGTAGTATCATATCTTGGAGAGGATCCCAACCGTTTTGGATACTTTTTTGGTTATATGCTGGATATGGGTGCTGAAATTCAGGTTGTTGTCAAGGTATAAGCCTAGGAATTTGCCCCCATTATTTCTGGTAATTAGAGTGTTGTCAATCTTAATGTTAATTTGTGCATCTCCTGCTCTGCTACCAAACATAATATAGTAGGTTTTGTCAGTGTTAAGCGTAAGTTTATTGGCTGTCATTCAAGTCGATATTTTAATCAGCTCGTCATTCACAATGGTGTTGAGGGTGGCAAGATTAGGGTGAGAGATGACATAAGTCGTGTCATCAGCAAAGAGAATGGGTTTCAGGTGTTGGGATACGTTTGGAAGGTCATTGATGTATATGAGGAAGAGCAGGGTAGTCGATAAGTGGAACAGTCTGCTTAGTAGGGTAATTAAAGCTAAAACCTTGGGTATTTTCAAGTTTAGATTGGATAAATTCATGAGTTGGGAAGGGGTTGGATTTAAGCGGGATTTTCACATAAGTTAAAAGGGTTATGAAAGCTTATTGCTTGGGTAGCACTGAAAATGGGTTGGGCAAACATTTTTATTAGTGGGTTGGATTCGACATGGATCTGTCAAATATGAGTCAGTAGGGCTGTTGCGGTGTTTCTCCTTTCTTATGTTCTTATGATGGGTAATATTAAGTTCAGGTTATGGTCTGAGTTAATCGATAATTTATTCCTTAAAATATTCAATATTAGTTGGATTTATTATAGGGGAAATGATTAGAAATGTAACATAACGTTTGAAAACCTAACGTAGCCCTACCTAAACTAACTTGAAGTAACTTTACTCCACCAGCGATAAATATGGAAATATCCAGCCTTTGTTTACGTTCTGATATACCTTTATTTATGAAAAAAAAACACAGTTCAGTACTTTTATTGGAGGAAACATTTAGCCACGAGTGGGTTCTTCAGTCTTAATACAGAAATAACTCAAAACGCGTATATATAGTGGCAGGAGTCAGGTGGTAAACTGCAAGACAGTAGTTGTAATAGTTGAAGATTGAGACACTTATGCAGCATATGGAAATCTTTATTCAGGAAACGTTTCGCCACACAGTGGCTTCATCAGTCCAATACAAAGAGGAAGGCGTAAGGAGAGGAGGAGAATGAGGTAATCAGTCCCTCAACCTGGAGTCGATGTGTTCAGTCCATCAATCTTGTAGAATGTACAGCATAGGGCCGAAGACGTGGCTTATATACTGTAGTGAGGTGACGTGAAGCAGATGGAGGCGGGGTCATAGTGGTACCATCCACTAGTCGAAGTAGGTCTTCGTCCAAAGGTTCAACCTTTGGACGAAGACCTACTTCGACTAGTGGATGGTACCACTATGACCCCGCCTCCATCTGCTTCACGTCACCTCACTACAGTATATAAGCCACGTCTTCGGCCCTATGCTGTACATTCTACAAGATTGATGGACTGAACACATCGACTCCAGGTTGAGGGACTGATTACCTCATTCTCCTCCTCTCCTTACGCCTTCCTCTTTGTATTGGACTGATGAAGCCACTGTGTGGCGAAACGTTTCCTGAATAAAGATTTCCATATGCTGCATAAGTGTCTCAATCTTCAACTTGTCGGTTTTTCAAACCATTCATCACACAGTAGTAATAGTAGTAGCAGCAATAGTACACTGGATGAGGACAACCAATTACCGTTCACGACGTGCTCCTCCTACTCACAGATGAAAACAAACTTACTTTTAAAGTCTACTCTGTAGACATCAAAGTCTACTCTAGACCAACCTACATTTGAGACTGGACCTCCTGTTTTTATCTGTTTGCGGGGAGAGGAGTCTTGGTTGCTAATCTTAACACCCTAGTTCTGTCAGGAAACTCTAGCCTCTGTGGAGACCACGTGGTGAATTTTTCCAGGGAGGTGACCTCTAGCCACAAGTTAACGGAGGTATGGAGACTTTATAACCTCTGGGAAATAGCTAAAAGGGGGCTGCCGGGTTATCAAATTGGAAGAGACCCGAGCCGGGATCCATCCAAGTGAATCGCCGAGAATAGAACAGCTAAGAAGGACGATTACACACTCTTCTGCTGTCCTCGACACGTGAGGGAAACAGAAACTCTCTCTACCACAAGCCTCCCTATGATCCACGTTTGGTAGGGAAACCCATACCTTCAAGAATCGTCGTCCCTTCTTCTTCCACGATGCAGTCGTGATGAATGGTTTGAAAAACCGACAAGTTGAAGATTGAGACACTTATGCAGCATATGGGAATCTTTATTCAGGAAACGTTTCGC